AGCCGTCCAGAAACCACTGGAACTCGAGCTCCGACATGGCCTCCTTCTCCAGAGTCTCCTCGAAGTTGGCGTCGAACTTGGACTCCGGGAGCTGCTCCCAGTCCTCCATCTCCACGTCGATCGAGCCGAGCTCCAGCGCATTGCGCGCTTCCTCCCGAAGGTGACTGAGGTCGAATCCGACCTTCCTGGCTAGGGTCTTCTTTCCTCGGATCATGTGGGGAGACTTGCCTCGGACATTGCGTGTAGATCTCGCCGCACTCGACGCCATCGAATCTGGGAGCATCGGTGGAGAGCCTCGGTACTAGTTGAGCCGAGAACTCCGGAGGAAAGCCGAGCCCGCTGTCGTTTGCCCCCTGGGGAGGTGGGGACTCGAGGGCGAAGAAAGGGGAGGAGATCTGACTGAGCGCTGCCGTCCTCCTACCTAATCCCTCGGGCCTCCTCTCATTCCCGCGGCGGTCCTCCAGCAGCAACCTGTCGAGCGGCATCCTCTCCTGGATCTCGGGCGCCAGGGAGAACTCATAAGCCGGAAGCTGGACGAGGTCGACTGACCGATGGCCGGAGGGATGGGGTACCAGCTTCACCTCCGATGTCCTCTCAGCCACCTGCACGGTCATCGCGTTCCTCGAGAGATCGATGATCGCGTGGAGGGCTGAGAGGAGCTTGGCTGAAAGTAGAGGCGGGCACGGGCCTTCCAGCACGAGGGACTCGATCACGCCACAGCCGCCTAGCGAGCTAGGCACCCACGCCCGGCCGATGGGAACCGCCCGACCTCCAACTCCAGACGCTTGAATTCCGAGCACGGGGCTCCAGTCGAAGTGGACCTTGTAGCCCTGTCGCCGCAGGGCCTCGTCGAGGATCTCGGCGTTGGACCTCCCGACCAGCGCCTGGCCGGCGGCAGTGTCCACCAGCGCGTGGGTGCCCAGCTTCTTCAGGGTGACGGTCGCCAGGGAGGGGTTGCCGCTCAGGTACATGACGATCTTCTCGTTCCAGTCCGTAGCCCCGGCGATTCTACCCAGCGACACGAAGGAGTCACTCTCGTCGTTCACGAAACAATAGGAGAAGCCCAAGATCGGCTTGGTGGGCTTCCGATCTTTCTCGAGAGCCAGCCGATCTGACTTGCTCATGTATGGGTTCTTGCACTGGTCCGCCCAGTGGCCCTTCTCGCCGCAGTTGGCACAGCGGCTCCTCTTCCGAAAGTCCTTCTCACCGATTCTGCGAAACCCGGGCCGCGATGCCTTCCTTCGGTCGAAGAACTCGCGATCGGTCTTCTTGGCTAGCTTCAACTTCCGGGACTCCGTCCACGTGCGCCTGCGCTCCTTCCCGAACCTCTCCTCCAGAACCGCCCCGAAAACCTCGATCGTCTCAAACTCGTCTAAGTCTTGGTTGTCGATCGCGGCCAGGAAGGCCTCGGTGTCTCCCTCGGGAAGCTCGATCTCCTCCTCGAGCTCCTCGGGGTCCTGAGAGCCTCGTCCTCGGTCTGGGGAAGTGTGCCCGTCCTCCGTCACGAAGGCCTTCGCCAGCTGGGGCGGCGCCGAGGGGAGGATCGGCTTCTCCGTGACGTCTGGCTGGAGGAGTGCCCCGCGAATGGAGGCCGCGTCCAGCTTGCCACCCGCTAGTGTTCTCATCTTGATCTTATTCTGCGGGGTGAGGTTAGCTCCTTTCTCAAGATACCGAGCGCGGACACTGTCCGGGAGCACTGGCCCTCGAGCCTCAGCGTCCGCCAGCTGCGCGTCCCGGCGCAGCACGTAGTCTGTGAGCGTCTCACCTCGCCGTATCATGTAGTCAAAGAGAGCATGCGAGTGGGCGGTCCTGTCACGATCGCCGGGGCGCTCTCCGTTGAGAACGCACAGGCGGGCTATCGGATTCTCGATTCCGAGGTCGTTCTCCAGAGTGGATCTCACCGTCTTGAACTTGAGCTGCAGCTCCACCGGGAGCGACTCGATCACGCGAGGGGCCTGTGGCGCCATAGGGTGGCCCGTCCTCCTGGACCACGCCCGGAGGTTCTCGGTATACACCCCAGGCGATGCTTAAGAAAACCCAAGTTTTCGTCCAGAGTCTCGATTATTCTTAATGTTTTCATGTAAATCCTACGACTTCGATGGAAATTCTGGGCTCTTACTCAAGTTCTGAGACTATGAATTTCTTAACCCATGATTTCTTAAGCATTTCGCAGGGTGTACGGCTCTAGGTGCTCTAGTCCTATGAACGGGGGCGGTGGTCCGTAGTCTCGACTGCGTTCCTCGGACGTTCTCCCTGCGTCTCTCCAGTCGGCGTTCCACCCGTTCCAGGCATCTTGGGCCCAGCCTCCTGCACGCCAGGCTGACCAGGCCGCTGCGTCCCACGAAGATCCCCAGGGTCCGTGTAGCTCCCAACTTGCACGCTCCCAGGGGTCCTCGGTCTGCTCGTCCGTCTGAACTGCGAAATCTCGATGCATTCCTCGCTCCTCGTCCACATCATCCGTCGGCATGCCGACAGCAACGAACGCCAACGCCAGGGCACCAAAGATCAGGGCGTTGCCGTTCCCGACAGAACACGTCGTCTCGACTCCAGACCGCTCGTCACCACGAGCTCTGCTTACCACTGTCACAGGGTCGACGGGGCGATGGAATAACAAAGGGTACGGGTGGAGATAAACTTGTTTATCAGAAAAGCACAACCATCTCCTCAGTGACTACTCGGAGTCACGTCCTAAGCCAAACTGGCTATATACCGCAGGAGAACACGGAGGGAGGGGGGGAAGGGATCGGAGAACGCACCCCCAGGGAAGCAAAGGATGACAGCGCGTCCCACCTCCCCAGACATGGGAGAGGTGCTCTCGCGGGCGCATCGGGCTCCGGATGGAGCGCCAGCCTTCCGCCGCCTGCCTTCAGGGGCCACGTCAGGGGGGGAGGCTCATGTGGGAACGCATCGACATCCAATCGCCCGGTGATCGCCGATGTGGGTCTCATGCTAGGCCTCGCGGATGGGGGTCGGAGTGGATGGGGTCGGGTCGGAGGGTCGCGGCGCATCGACGACGCGGCTCGATGTAGAGACCGTGTTTCCCCACGCCGACGTCGCCGATGCATCGCCGACGTCGCCGATGCATCGCGAGGAGGAGGAGGAGGAGGAGGAGGAGGAGGAGGAGGAGGAGGAGGAGGAGGGAGGAAAAGAAGGGTGAACAGGCCCCGCGTCCCGCCGTGCATGTGCCCGGCTGTGCCGTCGGTGCCGGCCGCGGACCTGCCGTGCGCTCCCCGCAGCTCCTCCTGGCGCGGGCAGGCGGGGGGGCCCAGTGTGCAACTCCCGGGGGGTCAGGTTCAGCATTGGCGCTGGTACACCTTAGGCGATGCTTAAGAAAACCTAAGTTTTCGTCCAGAGTCTCGATTATTCTTAATTTTTCAATGTAAACCCCCAGATTTTCATAGAAGTTCTGGGTTTCATTCAATTTCTGAGACTATGAATTTCTTAACCCATGATTTCTTAAGCATTTCGCAGAGTGTACACCCGCGGTCGAAGACGGTCACCACCCACCAAACCACCCCAACCCAACCCGAAGGCCTCAATTTGCCCCCCATTTCCAGTTGGGGGGGGGTCGGGGAACATCGAAAAAACACGTATGGAGCCCGTGCCCCCCCCCCCCCAACCCGAAATTGGGGTCTTCGGGTTGGGTTGGGGTGGTCTGGTAGGTAGTCAGACGGGCCTCATCTGGCACAATCCCGGCTGATTCCTCGCAGTCCTGCTCAATTCGGGTGTATTGGGCAAGATGCTGGGCTGAACGTGAGCAACTCTTGCCAAATCGCTCGCTGATCGGGCTTATTCGCCACAAATAGTTTTTTTTGTACGAAGACCTCCGAGGAGTTACCTCCTGAGGGGGAGGAGGAGGTGGGAGAGGGAGAGCAGAAGAGGAGGAAGAGGAGGAGGAGGAGGAGGAGGAGGGAGGAGAAGGAGGAGGAGGGGGAGGAGCAGGAGGGAGGAGAGGGAGGGAGGAGGTCAAAGAGTGAGGAGTAAGTAGTAAAGAGTAAAGGTAAGAGTAAGGTTAGTAAGGCACAAGAGGAAGAGGAGGAGGAGGAGGAGAGTGAGAGGAGGAGGATGGGTATGAGGATGAGGAGGAGAAGAATAATAATAAGAAGAAAGGAGGAGACGAGGCAGGAGGAGGATGACGAGGAGGGGAGGGGGAGGAAGGAGGAGTAGGAGGAGAGCCCAGGTAGAGGAGAGGGGCACGCTAGATGTTAAGTTCGGGCTACAGGAGGAGGAGGAAGGAAGAGGCAGGAGGAGGAGGTAGGTATGGGTATGATGATGTAATGATGATGATGATGACGATGATTGATGATGATTGATGATGATGATGATGATGATGGAGATGATGATGATGATAGATGATGATGAGTAGGAGGAGGAGGAGGAGGAGGGAGGAGGAAGAGGAAGGAGAGGGAGGAGGCAGGAGTTACGAGATGAGACGGGGTAATAAGTATGGATAAGGAGTAAGGAGTTAAGGAGTAAGGAAGTAAGGATTAAGGGAGTAAGGGGGGAGGAGGAGGAGGAGGAGGAGGAGGAGGAGGAGGAGTGAGGAGAAGGAGGAGGGAGGAGGAGGAGGAGAAGGAGGATAATAAGAAGAAGGAGGAGGACGAGGAGGATGAGGAGACGAGGAGGGGGAGGGGGGAGGAGGAGGAGGGAGGAGGAGGAGGAGGAGGAGGAGGAGGAGGAGGAGGAGGAGGTGGCAGGAGGAGGATGGAGGAGGAGGAAGAGGAGGAGGAGTGAGCCGCAGGGAGGAGGCAAGGAGGAGGAGGGAAGAGGAGGCCTATGAGAGAGCCACAGGAAGGAGGAAGGAGGGAGGAGCAGGCGTACGGAATAAGGGGAATAAGTAGGCGTGAAGGAGTAAGGAGTAAGGATAACAGTAAGGGTAAGGAGGAGGAAGGAGAGGAGGAGGAGGAGGAGGAGGAGGAGGAGGAGGAGGAGGAGGAGGGAGGAGGTGGAGGAGGATAGGGAGGGGCTGCCCAGGCCCTCCCCGCTTCGCCGGCCCGCAGGCTGGAATTGGCGCGCTCCAGTCCAGGCCCAGCGGTGTCGCCACTGGACGGGCGCCGCGGGGGCTGGGAGAAGGCAGGAGTTCGGAGGGAGGAGGTCGCTGGGAGGAGGTCAGATTTCGGAGGGAGGAGGTCAGAGTTCGGAGGGAGGAGGTCGGAGGGAGGAGTTTGGAGGGAGGAGGTCGGAGTTCCGAGGGAGGAGGTCGGAGTTCCGAGGGAGGGGGGAGGAGTTCGGAGGGGGAGGAGGGTGGGCAAGACGCTGACTTAGGACTGCTGTCCGTGTTCTGCTCTGCTCTGTCCCTCCCCCTGTGAGGCAGGCTTAAGGAAGTGTGAAGAGGGGAGGGATTCCCCCACGGGGCTCGCGCCGCGCGAGCTTGGGCAGCCTCTGCAGCTTGCTCGGCAGCCTGTCGCTGAGCTCTGGCCTCCCGCCGCTGCCTTGTCACCTCTCTGTTGGGGCGACTCTGGCGAGCTGTGCAGGGCTGAGGGGGGGAGACGGTGGCGGCGGCGGCGGCGGCAGCGGGGAGGAGGGAGGAGTAGGGCTCAAGAGACTCTTCTCGTAGGAGTAGGAGTAGGGAGGAGGAGGGAGGAAGAGGAGAGGGAGGAGGGAGGGAGGAGGAGTAGGGCTTCAACATACTCTTGCTCGTTGGAGGCCTCTGGGGGGCTAAGGGAGGGCAGAGAGGGGCCCTGACTGGCCGGAGTCGGAGCAGGAGTAGGATCACGCGAGGGAGACTGTCCGTCCCCTGAGAAGGGGTCCACGACTCTGGAAATCTCTGGATCGGCACGCTTCACTCTGCTATCGTGTCTGGCTGGGGCAAAATCGGGTGCCTCTGAGAAGTTGTGATCCACATAAAGGAGGAGGAGGGAGGAGGGAAGAGGGGGGAGGGGGGAGGAGGGAAGAGCGAGGAGGGAGGAGGGAGGAGGGAGGAGGGAGGCGTGAGGAGGGAAGAAGGAGGAGGGAGGCGGGAGGTGGGAGGAGGGAGGAGGGAGGAGGAGGAGGCGGAGGAGGAAGAGGAGGAGGATCGAGGAAAACTGCAACTCTTGATTACGGCGCGTGGATTGGCGACGTGTTCCGTTTTCATACGGGATCCGCGCACTGCGTCGCCAAACCGGCTCTGTAACTTCCTCTTCTCCGAGCCCGATCCATGGACCAGACGTGTGGATCCGTGGTCCATGCCAGCGTTGGCCCAAGAGGACGGGGATGGGGGGGGGAGGGCGAGCAGAAGAGTGCCCCCATCTCCTGGGCCCTTCTCTCCAGCCTTCGCCTGCCCTCTCCACCTCGATTCGGGGGAGCGCAAGACCCGGGTGTGCCAGGACTCGGGTTCGCCATCGTGTTTTGACGACCGCGCCTCGGATTTTGACGAGGAGGAGTTTCGTGGGATGTCTGCAGCGGGAGGCCTCGTCAAAACGCAGGCTCGGCCTCGTCATTTTTTTGACGACCTCGTCGGGGATTTCCGAGTCCCCTGTACCCAGGTCTTACGTCCCCCTGAGTCTGGCCTGTGCCAGCCGCCGATTCGACGCGGGGAGACCGAGCTTCGCTCGCGGCGCCGCGGGCCTGCGTCCCGGGCGCACGGGGGGGCGGTTCTGCGGGTGCGCGCGGCGGTTCTCGCGAGGGCGGCAGAGAAGAGGGAGGTTCAGGAGGGGAAACACACACACACAGACACAACTAATCGGCGATTGCCAGAAAATATGGGAAAATATGGGAAGTGTAGGGGAAGACAAAAACCCAGAAAATATAGGAAAATATGGTGGATATCTTTATTTGTGTGTATTTATTTGTGTGTCCCAGGGCCCCTTCAAGAGAAGAGGGAGGTTGCGCACACGGGCTGCAGAAGAAGGCTCGCCGTCCAGGTGGCGCGGCGTGAATGTGGGTGGCACCATCACCTTTGCCCGGGGATGGTCCAGGACCGACGGGGGCCGTGCGGGTTACCCCCCCCCTCCCCCCGCGTGCACCCTGACGAGAGAAGCTGCGAACGGATCCACCAACATCACTTCGCACCCGGTTGACATTTCTAACTATTTTCGCGTTCTCGCGGCACCATCGGGAACGCCGTTGTTGCTTTGGGTCGCCTCCTTTGCCCCCCCTTCTGTGCAGTGCATGAGCTTGTTTGGCCAGCCGCCGCCAGCCCCAGTTGCCGCAAGGCCTCTGCTTCGAGGTGACATCGAGGTGGTGTCCACATTCTGTTACCTCGTCTCATCCATCTCGTCTCTCACCGTTTCCCTTATGCGCCCCCCCCCGCAGGGTTTAGCCGTGGGGAGGTGGCAGGACAGGTTTGCATGGCTACAGACATCGTCTCTTACAGTCGTTAGCCGCAGCAGCAGCAGCAGCAGCAGCAGCAGCAGCAGCAGGTGGTGGTGTCCTCCTCGTTCGCGCCTTCTCGTCACGGTCGGGCTCCCGCTCGCGCTGTTGCTGCGACCGCTCTTGCGGCCAATGGTGCACGCCCGTCCGAGCACGGCTGTCCATGTCTCGAGCCAATCGTGTTTCTGCTGCTGTTCGATTTCGTGGGCCGCTTTCGTTCTGATCTCGTTCCGCAGCAAGGGCGGAAGGATGGCAGCACGCAGGATCACGGAAACAGCACGCACACGAACATCACCGTCTAGCTTGAGCCCTGCGGCTGTCCTCTCTGTGGGCAGCGGCCCGCCTCTCTTCTCATCTCTGGTGCGTTCGGCCGCCCGCCACCCCCTCCCGGTGAGCGCGCTCCTCGCACAGCCGGACCGAGGTGTGAGCTCGAGGTCGGCTCAGGGAGGGTGCCCTGATGCTCTTCGTGTTTTGCTGGGTGCTTTTGTGCATCCTGGGGGAGGATACCCTCGAGTGGCCTTCTGGTCTGGGGTGTTTGGGCTGGCGGAGGGCTTCATGCTCTCGAAGGACGTTCTTCTGTCCTGTAGGTCCGACCGTACTCCGGCCCCCGCGGTGCCTTCCGCCTCCTTGGGCACGGATCTACCTTTTACTGATCTTCCTTGACACTGCATGACAGGAGTCCCGCGTCTCTCCTGTGACTTGGCTGCTACGCATGGTGGGATGCTCCCCCTTACTGGGGCAACACATCGCCCCTGGGATACCTCTGTGTCGGCGTGGCCGAGCCGCGGGCGTGATGGTGGTGAGTGTCAGTTGGGACGATGCCGCTCTCTTTTTCCCCCAACGGTTGCGGTCTCGTGCCAGGTAACCGGGACAGCGCAGTGGGCACGGACTCGTGCCTACAGGCTCGGGAGACTCTTCATTGGGGGAGGATCCCATGGGGGGATAGGATCCCAGGGGGGTGATTCCATAGGATCCCCTGGGGATCCCATAGGAGGAGGAGGAGGAGGAGGAGGAGGAGGAGGAGGAGGAGGAGGGAGGAGGAGGAGGAGGAGGAGAGGAGGAGGAGGAGGAGAGGAGAGGAGGAGGAGGAGGAGGAGGAGGAGGAGGAGGAGTGGAGAGAAGAAGGAGGAGGAGGAGGAGGAGGAGGAGGAGTTGGAGGATCACATAGGATCCCCCCCCATGGAGAGTCTCCCGACAGGCTCGCCTGCGGCGATTTGGCCCTTGCGTTGCCCCTGGCTGCTTGGCGCGTCTTGGCCCCTGCTCCGCCCCCTTCCCTCTCCTCCGGGCTGCTGTCGGCGGCCAGGCGGCGGCGGAGCCTCCCTGCTCCTCCTCCTCCCTCCTCCTTGCTCCCCTCGGGGTCCCCCTGCCCTCCTCCTCCCCCCTCCCTCCTCCTGATACTCCCTCCTCCTCCTGCCTCTCATCCTCCTCCTTCCTCTCCTCCTCCTCCTCCTCCTCCTCCTCCTCCTCCTCCCCCTCTCTCTCCTCCTCCTCCCCCTCCTTCTCTTCGCCTGCCCCGAAGACGCACGGCACTTCTCAGACGGCCAGGGGCCTTCCGAGAAGTCCCGCCGCTTTCTGAGAAAGCCTTCGCCTTCTCGCCTCTCCCCTCGCTCGCCGCCGCTGATGCTCTGCATGGTGGAGTCCCCGTTCCGGCAGTCGGGAAGCTGGGTTTTTCCATCAGCACTTCGTTGGGGTCATCCGGGGGCGGCAAAGAGGGGGGTGATGACTGGGGGGGTGGATACCATGGCGGGGGCCATGATGTCTCCCCAGATTTTATGGCGCCTCTTCTCACTTCATTACGTCCCTGGCCCCCCCCCCCTTGGCCGCGCACGTGACGCCGGCCATGATTTGCACCCCCCCCTCTTGGACACCCCCCTCTTGGCCGCTTCCGAGTCGTGGAGATATCTCCTCCGCACGCTCGCCGCTCCGCTGCGGCAGCCGCTCCCGCCCGACGCCCGTGGCTGGGCAGGACATCCCGGAGGACTCCCCGGCCTGCCCGCCGGTCCCGCCCTTCTTCGAGGCGCACCGGGCGCGCCGGGGAGGAGGAGGGGGAGGAAGGAATGCGTACGTAGGAGGAGGCGGGGGAGGACAAGGAGGAGGAGGAGGAGGAGGAGGAGGAGGAGGAGGAGGAGGAGGAAGAGGAGGTGGAGGAGGAGGAGGAGGAGGACCAAAGCAAGCGGGGTGCGCCAAGGATGCTGCAGCACAGGCTCCCGTCCCGAGTCCTTCTTGTATGTTAGCTGCTGCCTGCTTCCGGAAGAGCCCCCCCTTGAGAGACGGGCGCCCACCAGGACTGCCGCTCAGGCGATCCGCCACCCGTCCGTCCAGCGAGGAAGATGCCCAGCGCGACCCACACTGGTGGAGTGCTTCCCAAGTGAGTAAGTCAGCGAGCAGGGCAATGCTTTGCATTGCTTGGCATTGCGTTACACTGCTCGGGGCGTTGTGTGCACTGCTTTGCCTTGCTCTGCTCTGCTTGGCATTGCCGGGCCATTCTTGGCATTGCCTGGCTTTGCTCGGCGTTGCTTGGTATTGCTTGCCATTGCATGACGCGGTTGGCATTCTTTGACACTGCTTGGCCTTCCTTGGCAGTGCCTGGTATTGAACGACAGGGGTTGGCATGTATTCGTAGGTATTGGCCTTGCTTGGCATTGCCTTGAAATGTTTTGCATTGCTTGGTGTTGCTTGGCATTGCGTGGCATAGCTAGGCAGCAAGGAACCAGGGACACTTCATTTGAGGAAGGCAGTCATGAGGCAGGACCCGGCAGCCCGAGGAAGGCGGTCAGGAGGCAAGACCAGGCAACCCCGAGGAAGGGGGCCAAGAAACCGGACCAAGGAACCCGAGGAAGGCGGTCCAGAATCAAGGCCAAGAAGCCCGAGGAAGGCCGACTGGCGCAGACCTGGCACTCACTGGTTCGTCGGAGACAGGTGCGAATCCTTCTCTCGGCGTCACCCCGACATACTTCAACTATATGCGCGTCGCCCCCAAGGGGCGACGCGCGCACCGAGAAATCTCATAGTAAGTGCGTCGTGGCGGGTGCTTTCTGGCCACACCGCTCGGGGAACGATCTACTGCAGGGTGGGTTCACTGTATGTTCGGGTCGGACGTGCGCATCCAAGGAGAGCATTAGTAATAGTGCGTCTTTGTGCGTCCCACCTTCGGGCAATCCGGATTGAAGGAGACATGCGACGTCTGGCCGGCTCTTTCAACACCTCTAACTACTTTCTCGGCCTCCGGCCGAGGGCGTCCACGGCAAAGGCACCGTGTCGCCAACAACCACAACAAAAGACATGCGAAGTGGTGATCGCAGAACTCAATGAGGTGTCCAGCGCGCCCTCCGTTCTGGAGCGGAACCGCTCTGCGACCGTGCAGAGTGGTTTTGCTGCGTGCTCTCCAGTTTTTCTGCTGGCCGCGTCGTAGGAGGTCTTCGGCGAGAGTGCCCCGCTTCGAAGTGGAAGTGATGAGCCTGTTTCCCACCACCACCACCATAAGTTGAAGGGGGGAGGGGGTCCTCCTCCCCCTCTTCTTCTTCCTCCTCATCCTCCACCTCCCTCCCCCCTCTAACTCATGGTGGTGGTGGTGGAGAACAGGCCCATCAGCAAGCGTCCTCCAGCCGTGCAGCTGTTGCACATGGTCAGTTCGTGGCGCGCGCGTGCACGCGCAGGTGCACAGCAAGACCTCGTGCGCGTGCAAGTCCTGCATCGTCACGAGCTCTCCTCCTCCTCCTCCTTCGTGGCACTCCGGCGGCAAGAGCTCAGGAGGACTGATGCAGCAGTGTGGGCAAGCAGTGCGACGTTCGCCGTTCGTCTGGGGAGCGCTTCGCTCCTTGGGCACGCTTCCCGGACCTACCGCCGTCACCCAGGGTTTACACAGATCGCGTTGCCGCGGGCGAGCAAGCTAGTGTCTGCCCGAAACACCCCAGGACTGTTCAAGCGAGGGGACACTGCTGACACGGACGAGCAAGCTAGTGTCTGCCTGAAACACCCCAGGACTGTTCAAGCGAGAGGACACTGCTGACTAGGACTGCTGGACCTTGGGTTTTCCTGGGCGGTGTCCACCGAGCCACTGTGTCGGATGCTGTCGGATCTTGTTGGGTCCTGCTGGACGCCACCGTGTAGCCGTGCAGCTCGGAGGGATGCCATACATCAGGAGGGGAAAAAACACACAGACACAATTAATCGTCGATTCCCAGAAAATATGGGAAAATATGGGAAGTGGTGGGGAAGACAAAAACCCAGAAAATATACGAAAATATGGGGAACATTTTTATTTGTTTGTATTTATTTGTGTGTCCCAGGGCCCCTTCAATACAGCCATCCGAGCGCCTGCGGCGCAGCAGAGCGGCACGCGCCGCACATCCACGGGAGGCCCCGCCGTGGAGCGCGGCACGCGCGCCGCGCGGAGGCGGGCGCCACGCCTCGACAGCGGGCCGCCCTCCGTCCCGCGCCGCGGCCCGCATCTGCCACGCGTCAGGGCCGAACGGCGGCAGGTTCGGCCGTGGGCCCCCGTGCGCTAGGCAATTCGGTTCGCGCGAAGCGCTGCTCCTCCTCCTCCTCCTCCTCCTCCTCCTCCTCCCTCCTCCCTCCCTACTCCCTCCTCCCTCCTCCCTCCTCCCTCCTCCCTCCTCCCTCCTCCCTCCTCCCCCCCGTCCTCTGGCGCTGCTGGCGCGCTCGCCTGGGGCCGCGGCCAAGAAGGGGTACACAACGGTGTGGGAGGGTCTGGCGGAACGCCCAGCTCGCCCTACCAACGCCGTTGGCGTCCCGACGAGGTGGGAGGCGAGGGGAACAAAGGAGGAGGAGGAGGAGGAGGAGGAGGAGGAGGAGGAGGAGGAGGAGGCGGAGCAGGTGGATGAGGAGGAGGAGGAGGAGGAAGAGGAGGAGAAGGCGGAGGAGGAGGATAAACATGAAGGAGGAAGAGGAGGAGGGGAGGGGGAGCAAGTGGGAGGATGACGAGGATGATGTTTTGCGCTCTGCCTGGAGCTCCCGCTCCGTGACGGACGCACAGGAGCCACCCGAGTGAGACCTCCCTTGTGCTGGACACGGCGCCATCGTGCCAGGATGCGGGTGCTTACCGCAGGGTGGCATGGACCCTTCGGCGAGGCATCGACGGAGTATGGTATGGGGAGAGGCTGCGGTAGCAAGCTTTGCTGCCGCCTCGGATCCTGCCCCACGGCAGCCCCCGGAGGGTCCCCAGAGGTCCCCTGAGGCCTCCGGAGGCCCGATATGGGCCGTCACGTCCGAGAAGTTCCCTTTCGATCCCCGAGAGGTTGGGCAGAATTTCGCGGGCTGCGGTGGTGGTGTTGGGGTCGGGGTTACTGTTGGCGCTGGCGCGCAGGAACAAAGATCACCCCGTGTTTGAAGAGATCGTCGTGGTCGTCGTCGTCGTCGTCGTCGTCGCCATCGTTGCCGTCGTCGTCGTCGTGAACGTCGTCGTCGTGAACGCCGTCGTGAATGTCGTCGTCGTGAACGTCGTCGTCGTCGCCTCAGGCCGCCGTGTTTGAAGAGGTCGCCTCGGCCCTGGGGGAGCCCAGCGGCGCGCGGGACGCGGGTCCTCCGGGGGAGGACAGCGGCTCCCGCCCATCACGCTTGCGGTGTGGCCGCCTGCTACTCCTCTTCCATTCTCTGGCCTTCTCTTCGTCCTCATCCATTTTTTCTCCTCCCTCCTCTTCGGTAGCCAATCATGGGAGCCAAGTGTACCGTCTTCATTCCGTCTTTAGCGTCGGCTAGCGTCGATCAGCGTTTTGGAGTCGGTGAAGTAGCGCCGTTTTAGCGCGGGTCAGCGTCGATGTAGTTTTCGATTAGCGTCGATTTTGCGTCGATCAGCGTGGATTTACAAGAGTCAACAAGATGGTATGGGAAGCTCCCGTGAGTTGCCACAGAACTTCTTCCTTCCTCTCTGACGTTGCACCAGCTTCGGTCTGGGAAAGCCGTCGCGTCTGAACGCTCGTGATGAAAAATGGAAGGAATACGCGTGAACATCACATGATAATACGAGCAGTGACAGGAACCATAAGGGCAAATAATGACGGACAAGTGGACAAACCTGGACGGGCAGAGAGGAGGTCACAACACCCAACCCACCACCTCAGCCCAATCACTCATGGCCCAAACCCGTAAGCCTTCACTGAGGGCCAGGGCAGCTGATGAGAGCAAGGTGTGAGGGGCCATGTACCGATGGATGTCCCTGGAGACCAAGCCCTGCGGTAGTCCTTGGCACCGTGCCGGCTCTGGCAGCTCGGCAAACGCTGCGGCGGTTTCAAACCTTCCAAAGTGTGGTGGGTTGCTGCGCTGCCTTTGTATGGTCAGCGCTGAGCCCTAGCGCCCAGGCAAACTCGGGGAGATGTCAATACTGCCTCCCCGCGAAGTTCTCGCACCACCAGACGCCTGCCTGCCAGTGTAAACAAGTGCGCCATGAGCACGCGTTTGTGTCACTGTACCCATGTAGCCCTCACCGAGGGACGATAACATGCGATGGAACCTGTTCATAACCGATGCTAATCTAGTGGTGCTGTCGAATACGCAAGGTAGTGATGACGAGGCACGACGGGCAGGGGAGCGAGGGGACGCGGAAACTTACAGACATGATGGTCCAGTATTCCACCTTGGCGGCGGGTGGCCTGCAGGTGGGGCTGCGGTGTCTCCCGGCGTTCAGTTTACCAACACCACCCGTCCTTAACCTAGCTCTCCCCATAGTGCTCTGGGCCAATTGAAAGCCCATTCTCAGAGTATACAGAATGGTGGTTGCCCTTGTCGTCCAAACGGCCCTGCTGAGACCTTGTCTGCCTTGCCCCTCCACGTCCACATCGGCACCTCCACCACCTCGTCGAGCCAGCCTCCCCCCGCTCCCTCCTTCCCTCCCTCCCTCCCTCTGTTCACCACTCACCAAACCTCCCCAACCCAACCCGAAGGCTTCGATTTGCCCTCCGTTTCCAGTGGGGGGGGGGGGGGGTCGGGGAGCACTGAAAAAACACATGGAACCCGTCCCCCCCCCCCAACCCGAAATTCGGGCCAAATTCGGGTCTTCGGGTTGGGTTGGGGTGGTCTGGTAGGTAGTCATCTGCGTTTCTGCGTTTCTGCGTTTCTCGCTCCGAGCAGCGTCTCGCGTGCGCCCGGAGCGCGGAGCGCGCCACAGCAGCCCACGAGGGCCGTGCGGGCACTCAGACGGCGGCCCCGGGAACCCGGCCTCGAGGCGAGAAAGAGGATCAGGGACCAATAAATACCTCGGAGGAGGAGGGGAGAGAGGCCCGGTTAAAAATTAAAAACGCCCGAAATGGGTTTTGGGCGGATCTGTCCATCTCTTGTCCTCGCAGTCCTGCTCAATTCGGGTTTACTGGGCAAGATGCTGGGCTGAACGTGAGCAACTCTTGCCAAATCGCTCGCTGATCGGGCTTACTCGCCACAAATAGTTTTTGTTGTACGAAGACCTCCGAGGAGTTACCTCCGCGGAGTGTTTTTTGTAGGTAGTCATCTGTCCATCTCTCCCCGTACCCATCCATTCCTCCTTCGGTCCCGACGGCTTCCTGGCAGGCGCACTGCAGGGCGTTGCCTCCCCCTCGCGCCGCTGGCGGGGCGCCAGCGTCGGCCGCCTGCCCAGAACCCCTCAAAGCAGGAGGAGCCCAGGAGGAGGAGGAGGAGGAGGAGGAGGAGGAGGAGGAGGAGGAGGAGGAGGAGGAGGAGGAGAGGAGAGGGGAGGGGAGGAGGGGAGGAGGAGGGAGGAGGAGGAGGAGGAGGAGGAGGAGGAGGATGGAGGAGGGAGGAGGAGGAGGAGGAGGAGGAGGAGGAGGAGGAGGAGGAGGAGGAGGAGGGAGGAGGAGGAGGAGGAGGAGGAGGAGGAGGATGAGGATGAGGAGGAGGAGGAGGATGAGGAGGAGGAGGAGGAGTGAGGAGGAGGAGGAGGGAGAGGGTGAAGGAGGACAAGCGATTTGTGCTCGCGCGTCTGACCCCTCCCTCCCATCCCTTCCCACTGCGCTGTTCCGCGCCTAGCTGCCAACGAATCTCATATCGGACCTGGAACATCCGAACGGACCCAATCGTGCACGCGAAATTTGCAAAGGGAGCTGCGTACAGTGGAGAAGGAGGAGGCGGCGGATTAGACGGAGAGTGTGCAAGAGGAGGAGGAAGAGGAGGAGGAGGAGGAGGAGGTGGAGGAGGAGGAGGAGGGGGAGGAGGAGGAGAACGACGAGGAGGAGGAGGAGGATAATGGAGGACTTGCCAGGCCTATGGCACTGTATTCAGACCCCTCCCTTACCCAGTCCAGGAAGCCGATGCTGGAGAATAGTGCGCTATCCTCATGGCCCTTCAACTCGTTGGAGTTTACCAGGACATCCAGATCTACTCGGATTGCCAGGATGTCCTGGACGTTTGGGCCCGAGGGCTCGAAACGGATTTCAGTGATGTGGCTCTCTCGTAGGTTTGGGAGAAGATCTGGAAATGTGTAGCCTCGACATGATTCGCCTCAGGAAAATCCAGATCCTCATTTCCTGGAGCAAACATCTGGAGACTTCTGAGACCCCGCATTAGGCCTGTGTAGGTAATGACCCTGCCGATGGTCTTGCTAAGCGCGGCGCCCAGATGCACCCTTGCAATCTCCGCCTTCTTGCACTCCAGAGACAGAAGAAATCTGAAATTGCCGATTTCGGTAAATTGACAACCTGCTTCGAGGAAAGGCTCAGTACACCGAATTTCACAGATGTGCAGAAGTGTAAGACCCCTTCCTGTCCAAAGCACGACCCCCTCAGTTGGTGTGTGAAGGCCATGGGCACGTCGTCCAAAGGACAGGCACTAAAGGGGGAGGGGGGTTCACGGGATTTTCCGAATCCGCCATGTGCGTTCTTCCGTGCCATGGTGTCCCGAGGTTGGCCAGGCAGGTCCACCCCAGCCAGAAGCTCTGGATCGCAGGTGGCCGCTTGATCTGGTGCAGAGACTGTGCTGCCTTTAGGACGGTGCGGCTGCGTCTGCTGGGGGGAGCGTGTCCTGGTGGGCCCCCCCAACAAGCCAGCCGCGCAGATCTTGAAGCAACTTAAGGAAGGGGAGGAGGAGGAGGAGGGGGAGGAGGAGGTGGAGGAGGAAGGGAAGGACCCATCCACCAAATCTTTCGTAGGAAGGTGCTTCCCTCTCCGACATCGGTCGGGGCCTCAGCGGGGAGTGCATTGGCTCGCCTGCTCAGGCCTGCCCCTCGTTATTCGCTTCGCTTGTCGTCGCCCGCCGCCCTGCACGTTCGTCTGGAGGGTCTCGGCTGTGCAAGGATCGACAGGATCGACGGGAGGGGAAGAATAGAGAAGGAGGAGGATGAGGAGGAACTGCAGCAACAGGAGCATGCGTAGCGTGATAAGCAGGAGGACCTGGGGAAGGCGGGGGAGGGAAATGGAAAAGGGCGACACCGACGAGTAAGCACCGGGATCTAGAAATGTGGCCCGCGCGAGGGCGAGAGCGCTAGGGTGAACGACGGGAGCACAGCGCCGATCCTAAAATGAGGCCAGCGCTGCAGAATTTGGAAGGACCGAGAGGCAGAACTTGGAAGGACCGAGAGCGTTCGGATTGGAAGAAACAAGGGATACCACCTCTTGATCATCCGGCGTGGGAGGATCAATCTGCGGAGGGGGGCGAGCTGCTCTCCAAACACGTCCTCGGGGGATGAGAGAGGAAACGAGATTTAGAGTGAGCAAGTGTGGAGGATGAGTCGGAGGCGGAGGCACAGGCGGAAGGGGGAGGGGATGTGGCAAAGTAGGGTGGGAAGGCGGCAGGGTAGGGGGGAATGGAGAGGAGGAGGAGGAGGAGGAGGAGGAGGAGGAGGAGGAGGAGGAGGAGGAGGAGGAGGAGGAGGAGGAGGAGGAGGGAGGAGGAGGAGGAGGAGGAGGAGGAGGAGGGGGAGGGTAGAGGGATACCTCCTTCGCCCTCGCGCCCCCCTGCCCCGCCCCCCCCTCTGCAAGGAGCAGCCGGCCTCTGCGTCCGGGGGCGAGGCGTCTAGCATGGAGGCCCCTTTGCCTTGCGCGCGCCTCGGTGCCTCCACTTTATTCTTTCGCTCCCTTCCACCACCCACCACACTCTTCTCAGAGGATGAAGAGGTGCGCACCGATGTCGCTGCCCATCCTTCCTCGCCACGGCTGGACTCGCCTCGCAATCTCGGCCAGAACGCAACCCTGCAGAGGTCCAGGGGGTCGCGGCATCGGTGCTCTTTTCTCCCCCGTTCTCGGTCCTGTCCTGGACTCCTGCACCCCTGCGGGCCCAATCGACGCTGGGGTATGGGTTACCCCCGCTGAGGCTCATCTGGCTACAGACATCTTTCGAATTCTGAGCCCCAGCCGGCTCTCAGAAGTCTGACCCGCAGGTGTAGGGTTCACAAGTGGTTGCTTATGATGGGCCTGTTTTCCTCCACCACCACCACCACCATCAGTTGGGGTGGGGGAAGGAGGTGGAGGGCGAGGAGGAGGACGAAGAGGAGGAGGAGGAGGAGGAGGAGGAGGAGGAGGAGGAGGAGGAGGAGGAGGAGGAAGGAGGAGAGGAGGACCCCCTCCCCCTCCAACTTATGGTGGTGGTGGTGGTGGTGGAAAACAGGCCCATCAGCTTACAACTGTCCCCGGTCCGCTACTTGCCTTGCGCCGTCGCCAGCTTCACTTGATCGGGCCCTGCCACCGGCCGTCCACGGCCTGGTCCTGTGAGTGACCTCGTGCCAGGGTTTTTTCGGGGCATTTGGGTGCGGCCCTCATCGGCCCCTTCACCTGTCGATTGCTTTACTCCCTCCCGCGCCTCTTCTCTTTCCCTCTCTCCCCGCCCCACGAGGCCAAAGCGACTGCAAAGTAAACTGCAAAGCCCTCATCCCCGCCCCATCTTCTATCGCTCGTCTCATCTTCGCCCCATCTCTGTCCTCCCCCCTTTATCCCCTTCCCGTCCCCTGCTCCTCCTCCTCCTCCTCCTCCTCCTCCTCCTTTTTCATCCTCTTCCCGTCCTCCTGCTCCTCTTCCTCCTCCTCCTCCTCCTCCTCCTCCTCCTCCTCCTCCTCTTCCTCCTCCTCCTCCTCCTCCTCCTCCCCTGCTCCTCCTCCTCATCCCCCCCCCCTCCTCTACTCCCCTCCCCCCCCCTCCTCCTCTCCTCCTCCTCCTCCTCCATCCTCCTCCTCCTCCTCCTCCTCCTCCTCCTCCTCCTCCTCCTCCTCCTCCTCCCTCCCCTCCTCCCCCCCTCCTCCTCCTCCTCCTCCTCCTCCTCCTCCCCTCCTCTCTGCTCCCCCCCTCCTCCTCCTCCTCCTCCTTCCTCCTCCCCCCCCTCCCTCCCCTCCTCCTCCTCATCCTCCTCCTCCTCCTCCTCCTCCCTCCTCCTCCGCCTCCTCCTCCTCCTCCTCCTCCTCCTCCTCCTCCTCCTCCTCCTCCTGCTCCCCCTTCCTCCCCCTTCCCGTCCCCGTCGGCCCGAAACCACAGGCCATCCGGGCCCGGGCGTGCACGCCGCGGAGGCTCCGCGGCACGCGCCAGCGCCTGCGTGCGGGGGGGGGGGGGGGCGGGGGGGCAACGCCTCGTGGTGGCGAGGAACGGACGGGCTCAGACATCCGGCTGCTCAAATTTTTTTGGAGCGCGGACCCAGGAGGTCTGGACCACCTCCCTGGGACCGGTTTTCCGTCCTGGGTTGTTTTTTGGCGCTCCCGAGGCCCGGCGAGGGCCCCCAGAGGCCGAAAACTGGCAAAAACCGCCCGCTCCAATTTTTTTGGAGCGTCGGATCTCAGGGGGCGGCAGGGCGGGCAAGGCGAGCGGGCAAGGAGGGAGGAGGGGCAGGCGTATGCCCCGAGGCCTTTTCACGTTTCGCACGCCCGGCTCTGTCGCCCCGTTTGGGGGCCCGTGGCCACCACAAGTCGATCCGGCTCGAAAAAGGTCGCAGGAACGTGGGGTCCAGGGCTCTTTGTTGTGGTGTTTTGCGATGCTGCAGTTTTTCGCAACGTCGGATCTCTGGGTATGGAAGCGGGCCTTTAGGTTTATCGTTGTTTTCGGGCTCCCAGGGCCTGCACCAAGCCCCGGGGCTGTCAGGAAGCGGCTCGGGGCGAATCGCCGGCCCTCGGGAAGGAAGGGGCCGGGATTTTCGGGGGGCCCGCATTGAAACATCGAGACGTCGGATCTATGAGTTTTCTTCCTCTATCACCTCGCAACAGTCTTGTATAACTTTTCCCTGTCACCTCTGCGCTTGACGAAAGTAGGCATGCTTCTTTCTCCCCCAGACAGTGCTTGTACTCAGGGGTGCTTATGTCTTGCTGTGGAGCTGGGTCGGTTTAGCGGTCTAGCGGCTATGTTTTCGCCGTCGCCGCTTCGTCGCCGCTTCGTCGCCGCCTCGTCGCCGCGCGTCGTCTCGCTGGTGTGGCGGTCTGGCGGCTATGATGTCGCCGTCGCCGCCTCGTCGCCGCCTCGTCGCCGCCACTCTGGTTGCTCTTCATCGAATGCGCAACATGTATATTCCACCACAGAAATTGCACAGCATATGATGCACCAAATTTATCGCACAACGTAGAATGCACATCACAGGTTGTACAACATAGGTGGCACAGCATATATTGCACTTTGTAGATAGCGCCACGTAGATTTCACCACATTTATTGTTGCACATTGATCGCACCACATCGACTGAATTATATATTGCATAACAAATATCGCCCCACGCAAACTGCACAACCTAGATTGTACCACATTGATTTGACTACATAGAGATTGCACCACATGTACTGCGCAACGTAGGCTGCCCAACGTAGAGTGCACCACATATACCCGTAAGGGCTTCACCCCCTGCCGCCGGCCCCCCCTCTATCATAATGGGATATAACAGAGTCGCGTCGGTGCGTCTCGGCGCTGCCTTGGCGCATCTGGGAATGTGGGGGCGGCTAGGAGTCATCAGCGCAAATTGAAACGTTGGCGTTATCGAAGACGCCTACGGCGAGTCACCGCCGCCCCCTGCCCTTTCGGAAGCGCTTATGTGGCCGATCGTTGAGGCCAGAGCCCTGCCAAGCTATCGGACCATGTGTTCCCCGAATCGGTTTGGAAAGTCTTCGGGGTACACGTGGGGGAGGACGGGGAAGAGGAGGAGAGTGAGGAATGGCCGTGTTCGGGGCCCCTTCGGGGCTCTTGTGAGCTTTTGGAGGCGTCGTGGGGCCTGCTGGCCGAAGGTTGGGTCAGATCCTTGCCATTCTTTCGGAACGAGTGTTCCCCGAATCGGTTTGGAAAGCTTTCGGGGAACACGTGGAAGATGTTGGGGAAGAGGAGGAGAGTGAGGAAAAAGGGGAAGGGAGGAAGAGTCTTCTTGGGAGCCTCTTGAGGCACTCTGGGGCTCAATTGGGCCATCTTGGCCGTCTTGGAGGCATCTTGAACGTCATCGTGGCCGTCTGGAGGCCATGTTGACCCTTTCGGGCCTTCCTGGAGGACGTCTTGGAGGGCTCTTGGACCGTCTTGGAGGCCTCTTGCGGGCCTTTTGGGCAGTCTGAGGCCATCTTGAGGCCATCTGGGGCCGTCTTGGTTGTATTTTGGGGCCATCTTCGCTGTCTTGGAGGCCGTCTTGGCCGTCTTGGAGGCATCTTGGAGGCCATCTTGGCCGTCTTGGAGGCCATCTTCGGCGTCTTCGGGGCCATCTTGGGCCGTCTTGGGCTCTTGTTGGAGCCCTCTTCGGGGCCTCTTGGGCTGTCATGGGGCCACCTTGGAGGCCTCTTGGGCGCTCGTGGGACGATGTTGGGGGCCTGTTGGGCCGTCTTGGGCCATCGGAGAGCTGATAAGAAGAAAGTGCCACGATTCTTTAAACAACTGAGGGCAGATCACTGATTTTTGCCCTTTCGGGCCTTCCTGGAGGACGTCTTGGAGGCCTTTTGGGGGCCTCTTGGCCAGTCTTAGGCCATCTTGGAGCCAACTTCGGCCGTCTTGGATGCTTCTTGGACGAACTTGAAGGCATCTTGGACTCTCTCGGGCCGTCTTGGAAGCCATATTGGACTATCTTTGGCGACTTGGAGGCCATCTTTGAGGCCATCTTGGAGGCAATCTTGGGCCAACGTGACCATCTTAGAGGCCATCTTGAGCCGTCTTGGAGAATTGTTGGCGTGGACGTTGGGGTGGTTTATGCTCCTTTGTGCTGCCTTTCGGGTGGCTGGCGGGACGGGCCAAAGCCCCAAACATCGAAAGGGTCTAGCACGCCGGGCACCCCTGTGGCAAGCCAACAGGGGGCGGCGGATCGAAGACGCCTACGGCAAATCACCGCCGCCCCCTGCCTTTTGGGAAGCGCCTATGTGGCCGAACGTTGAGGCCAGACCTGCCAAGCTATCGGACCATGTGTTCCTCGAATCGGTTTGGAGAGCCCTCGAGGAACACGTGGGCATCTTGAAGGTCATCTTGGCCGTGTTGAGGCCATTTTGACACTTTCGGGCCTTCTTGGAGGACGTCTTGGAGGGCTCTTGGGCCGTCTTGGAGGCCATCTTGAGCGTCTTGGAGGCCTCTTGGGCCGTCTTGGGGGCCTCTTGGGGCCGTCTTGGGCCTCTTGGGCGATCTTTGGGGGCACTTGGGCCGTCTCGGGCCGTCGGAAGGCCGAGAAAAAGCAAATGCCACAATCCTTCAAAAACTAATGGGAAATTAATGATTTTGGCCTTCTCGGGCCTTCCTGGAGGCCCTCTTGGAGGCCTCTTGGGCCGTCTTGTGCCAGCTTCGAGCCAACTTCGGCCATCTTGGTGGGCTCCTGGCCCGTCTGACACCGTCGGAAGCCGTTTGGGGGGCCTCTCTGGGCCGACTTGAGGCTCTCTTGCTTGGAATGCTCCAGGGCCGTCTTGGAGGCCATCTTGGGCGTCTTCAAAGCCTCCTGGGCCGTCTTGGGGGCCTCTTCGGGCTGCCTTGGGTGCCTCTTGGGCCGTTCTGGGGCCATCTTGGAGGCCTCTTGGGCGATCTTTAGGCGATCTTTGGGGGCTCTTGGGCCGTCTCGGGCCGTCGGAAGGCCGAACAAAAAGCAAATGCCACAATCCTTCAAAAACTCATGGGAAATCACTGATTTTGGCCTTCTCGGGCCTTCCTGGAGGCCCTCTTGGAGGCCTCTTGGGCCGTCTTGGGTCATCTTAGGGCTATTTTCGGCCGTTTTGGTTGGCTCCTGGCCCATCCGACGCCGTCGGAAGCCGTTTGGGGGGCCTCTCTGGGCCGACTTGGGGCTCTCTTGCTTGGAATGCTCCAGGGCCGTCTTGGAGGTCATCTTGGGCGTCTTAAAAGCCTCCTGGGCCGTCTTGGGGGCCTCTTGGGGCCGCCTTGGGGGCCTCTTGGGCCGTTCTGGGGCCATCTTGGAGGCCTCTTGGGCGATCTGTGGGCGATCTTTGGGCGATCTTTGTGGGCTCTCGGGCCGTCGGAAGGCCGAAAAGATGCACATGTCAAAGTCCTTCAAGAACCTGAGGAACAAAAACAATTTTTCGAGCCTTTCTGGCCTTCCTGGAGGCCCTCTTGGAGGCCTCTTGGGCCGTCTTGTGCCAGCTTCGAGCCAACTTCGGCCATCTTGGTGGGCTCCTGGCCCGTCTGACGCCGTCGGAAGCCGTCTCTGGGCCGACTTGAGGCCCTCTTGGGGTGCTCCAGGGCCGTCTTAGAGGCCATCTTGGGTGTCTTGGAGGCCTCTTGGGTCGTCTTTGTGCCCTCTTTGGGCCGTCTTGGGGGCCTCTTGGGCAGTCCTGAGGCCATCTTGGAGGCCTCTTAGGCGCTGTGGGGGCGATCTTGGGGGCCTCTTGGGCCGTCTTGGGTCGTCGGAAAGCCGACAAGGAGCAAATACGAAAAACCATTAAAAACCGAAGGAGAATTAATAATTGTGGCCTCTTCGGGCCATCCTGGAGGACCTCTCGGAGGCCTCTTGTTCCGTCTTGAAGGCCTCTTGGGCACCGCTTGGGCCGGCTTGGGCCGTCTTGGAGGTTTCTTGGGCGGACTTGGAGGCATCTCCTCCTCTCTTGGGCGGACTTGGAGGCCATCTTGGAGGCCATCGTGGGCCAACGTGGCCATCATGGAGGCCATCTTGAGCCGTCTTGGAGGAACAATTGTGCAATTGGGCACCTTTCCGGGTGGCCGGCGGGACGCGCCGGAGGCCCAGGGGGAGTTCTTTTGGAAAAAAAGCCAAAACCAACACCGAAAGGGTCTAGCACGCCAGGCACCCCTGCGATGAATCGACAGGGGGCGGCGGATCGAAGACGCCTACGGCGAATCACCGCCGCCCCCCGCCTTTTTGGAAGCGCCTATGTGGCCGAACGTTGAAGCCGGACCTGCCAAGCTATCGGACCATGTGTTCCCCGAATTGGTTTGGAGAGCTTTCGGGGAACACGTGGGCATCTTGAATGTCATCTTGGCCGTGTTGAGGCCATTTTGACCCTTTCGGGCCTTCTTGGAGGACGTCTTGGAGGGCTCTTGGGCCGTCTTGGAGGCCATCTTGAGCGTCTTGGAGGGCCTCTTGGGGCCGTCTTGGGCCTCTTGGGCGATCTTTGGGGG